AGGGGGCATTTATTTTGTTCTTGCATCATAATGAAGCAGATAATAGGAAGAAAGGAGATGCCTTGGTTTTCTGGTCTGTGCTAATTTTACCTTTCAAACCTAAAGAAGACTTTGAGGGCTTGGTTGAAGTTACTCTCTACTGAAAGTAATAGGGAGTACATTTTTACATATTGAAATTTCCCTGTCTCAGATATTGTTGATGCTAGGACATTCTTCATATTTTGCTTGACCTGCCTCTTTGGCCTTAAAATGCTTATAATATAATTTCAGAATAGAAGATATGAAGGACCAATTGAGGAGGCGTATATTCCGAAAGCGAATAGTTAGAAAGATTACATTCATAATTTCGAGTGGATTGTCAATTGAACTTAATACCTATGCTTTACTTCGTCCTACGGTTCCAGGTAGAGACAAGCTAACATTTCCATTTGGAGTTTTAGTAACGGTTTTACATGTCACCCTATAATGTGCATGAAAACTATGTTTTCCTTGGGTTTGTAGGGGCAATAACGTGGCTTGATTCTGTCACTAATCTTCCTTTGAAGGTAGTATGAAATTGTCACATGATATTTTCACTTGTGTTTGTCTAACTGCTTGCAGGCAGTATTGATTTACTAACACTGATATCTAGTTCCTTCTAAACTTATTGTAATAAAATTATATGTAAAGAAAATAACAGAAGTGATGAGGAGCTTATCTAGATAATTAAGGAAACAATCTTGATATTTGGAATTGATTAGATAATTAAGGCATTGCCCAGCTTGTTGAAATTGTTGAAATCTGGATATATTTCTAACTGGCATGTTAATTCATTCCCGCCGTTCTATTGTTCTTGTCTTGGTGGTGGCATTTTGAGGAGTTTATCTAAATGTTATTATTTTCTTTGTGTTGAAAACATATGCAGACTGAAAGATCTTTTATCTGTGCTGATACTGGGGCATTAATGCAAGAACCTGTGAGACACTTTCAGCCTTACAAGAAGTAAGCATGTGAGATTGCATATTTACAACCATATCCTTCGTAATGTCCCAGCTACTTGGTTTTTATTTATTTAGTTTTTTAAAAATTTTTATGCTCATTCATTTATTTTACCTTTAATTAGTGATTATGTTTTGTTTTTTCTTGTGACAGTGGTTCAGATATTGTAATGCTTAAGAAAAGTTTAAAAAGGAAATGTTCTTATCAGTTTTTAATCATTTTGATGGGTGTTTGGTTTAGTATTAAATATATGAACTTACAAGCTATGAAGCTTATAAACTCTTCAATAGCATATAAATTGTACGAATATCTTTTAAATAAACTGCTAAAGTGTTTGGACAGCATAAGTCTATAAACAATATTAGTTTGGGATAATCGTGGATCTCTACTTGGTCAAACAACTTATTTTAGTGAGTTCAAAAGCTTCTAGAGT